CCCACAGCTCCCAGCTCTGCGGGCGGGACTTCAGATTTGGGAATACGTGGTTTTCCTTCGTCTTCTGGGCCACACGAGCAGCTGCGACTCTTTCCTCACTGGCTGTGGCCCCACACCTGATTCTCAGATGACAAAGAACCTGCACACCGCACGGCGTCTCTTGACACAAACGGCGGAGATGAGTGGTGACGTCACAGCGAGTTGTCGCATTCAATAAGACCCCCTAGAAGACGGCAGCTGCGCTTTCTGACAGAAAGTTCTACCACATCACCCGAGATATGGTCTGAGAGTCGGACAGAGTAAACCTGCAGACGCCACGACCAGAGACTGTCCGCGAGCCACTGTGATTCCTTTGCTCCCACAAGGAAGGGAAAACCCACAATGACTCGGGCCCAGCTCTGGTCCCGCATCCCCGTCGGTCTTCCTGGCGACCAGCATGGGCCCCGCGGCCCCGGCGCAGCACTGAGGGGCTCCGCGGGCAGCCAGGGGTCTGCACGCAGGTGGGGGAGGACGACGGGGCTGTCCCTGTGGCTCAGCGGTGACGCTTCCCTCCCAGCATGCTGACCCCCAAGGAACAGCATGTCACTCCTGAGCATGTGGGTTTGTACGTTTTCAAGTTCGTGATGGGAAAAGCAGTCTCCCCGCCATGGCGGCTCTGAAAGCACCTGGTTCTCGCTCTGGAGACCTGACTGGGAGAGACGAGTGTGACAGAAGGGACGGTCATCTGTCCACGCATGAGGCCTCCCTTTGCTCACGCACGACCCCCAGGAGCCAGAGCACCTTCAGAAGATGGACGGCCGAACCTTCTTCCAGACTTGGATTCCCCAAAGCCTAACGGCTCGCCAGTGAGGAGACGGCAGGACCACGCCTGCCGTGCGGGTGCCTTCCCCTTGACAGCCGTCGGGCTGAGTGCCCATGAGGGCCGTGCCTGGGAGCGGTGGCCACACCGAGCTGCCCGTGACTCAGGCTGTGACACAGGAGATACATCGGTCAGCAGAGACCCGTCTGTGACATCGCTGGTGGGCGTGTCTCAGGCAAGAGCTTTAGGGGAAGAAAACACTGGAGAAATCTCAGGGCCAACCGGTCCGTCTCAGAACATGGAGGCCATGGGAGGCCCACTCTCCTTGCTGCACGTCCCCCCGACCCCGGTGAGGGCTCGGTGCCCCAGCCCTGCAAGCTTCTCCTGCGACTCCCATTCCGGGTTTCCACGGCTCCGTTCACAGCTCCCGGGCCAACGTCACCTCCCACCTGCTCTGTCGCGGGGCCGCTCTTCCGCCGCCCTCAGGGGGCCGCCCGAGAGGGGAGTGAGCTGCCCAGGTGCCGCTGGTGTGCAGCCCCCGACAGCCCGGGCCGTGGCCACCTTCGCCCCTCCAGGGCCGAGAGCACAGGGGACCAAAGCTTTGGCACAGAAGCTGGGCTTCCAGGGCCCCCGTGTGGGATGGCGGGGCTCTCAATGGCCTATGCACGGCTGCTCGCGGCCATGGGGACAGTGGCCTCCCCGTCTCCCACATCGGCCCAGTAGCCGCTCTTCTCCCCCTTCTCATCATGTGCACGTCCTTCCCCAGGAAGACACCCCAAACGCAAGGGCGTCCGTCAGAGGCGCCTGGAGAGCCCGGCTCTTCTGCATTTCTTCGTCAGACTAAGACGCAGTTTCTCCTTTGCCAAAACGCAAACGGCTCCCTTGGATTCAAATTCCCCTTCCTGGGCTGTCTCTCCTGAACCCAAAACATTTCTAAAATCGCCCTTGGGGGACAGGGACGGCCGTCCTGACCTGCTGCCGGCCTCGGAGGGTCTGTCCAGGGTGGAAAGGGGGAGAAGGTAAACAGAGCCCGAGGCAGTGCCCCGTCCGTCAGCGTGAGACAGACGCGTGCAATGCTGTGCCCCACGGGGAGGACGTGTGTCAGCGAGGAGACCACATGGGGCACAGGTCCCACTGCTTCCCCTTCTTAGGGAACAAGCAGGGACACAGATGGTTTTTTTAAAGAATGGCACCAGATCCTTGCCAACAGCTGATCTGCTAAGGCTGAAGCTGAGATCCGGTGAAGACTTGCCCTAGAGAACCCCAAGTTCCCGCTGAATCTGACAGCAGGCGGAAACCTCGACCGCTCTCTCAGAGGAAGGAGGCCCGTCTCGTGGCGACAAAGGTAGGAATCACCGACACGAAGCCCCACCATCTGTATCGTGTGTATTTCGTCCCACTCAGGCAGCAGAAGAAAAGGGGAATGAGCCACAAGAAAGATTTCTTTCCTCCGACCCAGGCTTGTAGCAAATATTCAAGTCCCAAAGTTCTGGCCCAGGAGAACGCTACAGGAAAATAAACTCTGAAGGCAATGAGAAGTCCAATCCCAACAGAAGCCTCATTTTCTCCCAGAAAGTCAGCGGAAATGCCCGATGGGACAGGCCTCTCGCACAACCTGGTCATTTCCCTCCAAGAGTCACCCCAATGCGGAGGACGTCCCATGGACTATCCTGCTCTAAAGGCATCATGCCCTGTTGTTCATGGTGATGCAAAGCTGCCACTTGGAAGAGCCTTTCAAACAACGGGAACCCTTTTCCCGGCCCTGTTGTGGGGCACCCACCCCTGCCTCATGCTGCTGCAGAGACCCCGGACCCCAGAAGGAAGAGCGACAGTGGACCCTCCCCGCACTCTGGGGACGAGCCCTTGCGTGCGGGGCTGTGCACCGTTGATGTCCTGGTGGCAAGAAAGAAGGTTCCCAGCGCAGCTGTGCAGCACACACACATGTGCAAACGTGCGTGTACATGTGTATGCACACGGACACACGGGTATACACATGAGCACGCGTGTGCACACATACACACACAGACATACACATGTGCACACATACACACACAGACACACACACATACACGTGTGCACACATACACAC